GTACCAGCAGTCACCTCAACTCTTTTAGTTGTGGAATCATCATTCTTGGTTTTCATGACATCATCAGCTTTTAGCTCCTTCACATGCGATTCTTCAAGTAGAACTTTGCATTAGCGAAGTGTGACTCAGCCTCGGTGAATGGCTCGTCATCAACAATTATCTTATTCTCGACTTCACCTTCGTAGTATTTCAAATATTGATGGTAGGTAGATGGAACCACTTAATTCTCATGTATCCAAGGCCTTCCAAGCAAGACGTTGTATGAAGTCTTTGCATTGATCACATGCATCCATGCACTTGATCGTATATCTTCAATAGTGATTCCCAGCGTGATCGTACCTATGGCTCTTTGTCCCCATTAGTTGAATCATTGGATCATCACACGACTTTCTGAGAGTTTGTTTATGGGAATACCAAGTTCTTTCACAGTGCGAATTGGCAAAATGTTCAATGAGGATCCTCCATCAGCTAAAATTCGATTTACCCGTTCATTACGTATATAGCTGTACAATAGGCAGTTATGAAGAGTATCACCTAGCAGAAGATCGTCATTTGTGAACGTGACTTTTTCCTCACAAGCATTAACTTCTTGAGGAGTGGACTCGATGAGCTTTTCTGAAGATGGTGCCAATGGTAGGTCACCACTCTTTTCTTCCCCTTTGTCAGCATGGCAACAAGAGACATCAATACCCCAATGGGAAATCTTTGTGCGAAACCAACATGTCAAGTAATCCTCCAAGGTCACTGGATGTCGTGGCTTTTGAGGGTGGTGCACCTCCACTTTTGCTTTCCCAAAATGCCTAACTGGATTCTGTTTCATTGGTCTTTTTACCATCATTTTCCTTGTTGGTTGTTCTATCGATTCTTTTCATTTGCTCTTTTTATGGCACCTACGATGAGTCACCAACGTCCAACCTTCATCATCATCAAGTTGATTGACTTCAACTTTGTTGTTCTCCAATAATCCTTCATCTTTACTTTTTTTAAAATCACATAATTCATCCGGACTAAATGAGCCAAAGGTGATAGAGACTTGGTTTGCGCTTGCTTTATCATCTTCAAGCATGATCTTCTTTTCATGAGCCAAGTCCATAACTTTGTCCTTGAAGACAAAGAACTTCTCTAGAGGGTTGCTCACAAGTCGATGGTATTTGCAGTAATTTGGATCATTCGTTTTACCATCTTCATTCAGCCGCTTCATCTCCGGAAGCTCAATGAGATTTAACTTGAGGAGTTCTTCAAAGATTGCTGGCACATCAGAATCCAGAAATGGGTACTCTTTCTCTTGCATTTCTTTTAGAGTCAACTTTCCACTTGGTTTATCTTGAAAAGAAGTAGATTTGGTACTCTACTTCTTGCTCACCTTCGTTGTGAACTTTACAAGTGATGTGTTGACATTCACAACCTCTTTGTTTTCAGATCTGGGTACAAACTTGCTCTATTTCCTGACTTCTTGCTTGTCACTCCCTTTGCGAGGCTAATAGATAGGTAGTGTTTCGTTTCCAGCGGAGGCCATGCTTAACTCTATGTCATGGGCACGAGTTGCAAGTTCTTCAAATGTGCTAGGCTTAATACCGTGCAAGATGTAGCGGAGTCCCCAATGCATGCCTTGATGCACATCTCTATTCCAAAAGCTTCACTAAGCCTCTCTTTGCAGTTGAGGCTTGTATTCCTCCAACGATTGATAAAGTCGATAACTGGTTCACCCTTTTGTTGACAAGTATTTGTAAGTTCTATCATACTCACAGTACGTCTCATGCTATAAAAGTGATTAAGGAACTCTTGCTCTAGTTGATCCCAGCTATTAATAGATCCAGCCTCGAGGTCTGTGTACCAGTCAAAAGAATTTCTTTTAGCGAGCGGACAAACTGCTTGATGAGGTAATCTCTATAAGCCCCAGCATTGTTGCACGTCTAAACAAAGTGCGCCACATGTTGCTTTGGATTACCTTTTCCATCAAACTGTTGAAACTTTAGAGGTTGATAACTAGCAAGCGTCTTCAATATATCGACCCTTGCAGTGTACGGTTTTGTATATGTAAGGGAGGACTTGGTAGCAACTTCATACTTGTTCTTAATTGTTCCCTCAATAAACTCCTTCAGCTGATCGATTGGAATCATCCCTTCAGATGAGACAGGGGTAGCCTTAGCAGATGCTACTTGTCTTTGGGGAGAATCACTCTCTGGAACTTCTGGGAGCTTACAAGGTGCGTGGGTAGATTCTTCTACCATCAAGATTACTACCCTATCTGTTAGCTTGTTGATTCTAGCATCTTGATTTTGCATGCACTTGGTCAAGTTAGCGATTACTTCCGTCAAGTTTGCCAACTGATCCCCCACAGATGAAGTGTTTGTCACCATGACTTGCATGATTGTCGTGGACGATGGAGAGTATCATGAATTTTCACACAGATTGATCCTTGATTGGCTCACGCTATGTGGTGTAAGTGGGGAGGATCTATCACTTAAAGCATAATAATCTTCCTTCACAGTAGAGTGCTTGGATCCGGAGAGGTCAAGCAGAGCAAGCATTTTCTTGACCTTTTTAGCAACATCGCCTCCTCCTTCAGGTGCGTTTGTGGAAGATCTTGGTCCTTTGGAGGATGAAGATCCAAAAATAGGGGTTAATGCGGACGACACTTGGGGTTCTTGTTGTCCTAACGAGCTTGCTTTGCTCCTCGTAGCTGGTCCAAAGCTTCCAAAGGTAACATCGAGGATGCTTTCTACATCAGCATCGAACCTGAAATTAGCAGCCTTGGTGGAAGTTGAATTGGAGTTGATTTTCTTTGAAGCCATTTCAATGTTCTTGAACTTTGGTGATTGAAAAGTTGAGATGAGTGGTAGAGATTGTCCCATTGGGCGTGCCAGAATTTATAGACAATAAATTGCGTCGAGAAAATAAAATCAGGGCCGAAAAATGTTGCAACAATCGTAGTATTTTATTTCAAATATTTAAGTGTTACAATCTCTATGAATCCTCTAATTCTTCTTTCCAATAGTAAATAAATTCAAGGGCTTTCGAGCTTGACCTTGAATCTATATTTGTTGCCACAAACGATGATCTTAAATTCAACTAGCATGAACTTTGATTCGAACTCGTACTCCTTGAACTTTGATTTGTTCTTCGTTCTTGAGCTTGAACTTGATTTGTTCTTCGTTCTTGAGCTTGATCGTGATTTCTTGAACTTGAACTTGATTGCTTGAAACTTGTGGAGGAATTTGCAGTGTTTGATCCACGAACTCTTTCTTGCTTCTTGTTATAACTTCTGGTGTCTTTTCTGAGTTATGAAGACCCCTATTTATAATTGTGGATGGGAGGAGTTGTGATAAGAACAAACTCTTTCCGACCAATCAAATTAAAGTATACATGACCGCATTTGATTGGCCAGAACATGTCACTTGCACACGTGACGCGATTTCACTAGCCTTTTAATGTGATTTGGCATGTCTTGTCATTTTGACACATGGCATGGTCTTATTGGCTCTTCCATTTGACGTGGCGTGCTACGTCATTTGACACGTGGCACCAAACTGGGCCTTTAGGAAGATGATATTTGCATCTATACCCGCTTTTTGTGTAACGTTTTAACTTGTGCTCGCTTTGCAAAAAAAATTGCAAGCGTGCCGGTTTTTTCGCATAATTTCAGCATACGGGGCTGAAGTAGCAAAGGCAATCACGCAAAACTTCAACATTCTAGTAGTCGGGCCTGAAGTTCAGCTCTAGAGCTGAAGTTTTTATTTTGTAACTGGCGAACTTCAGCTCTAGAGCTGAAGTTTTTGTTTTTGTAACTGGCGAAGTTTTTGTTTTGTAATTGGCGAACTTCAGCTCTAGAGCTGAAGTTTTTGTTTGTAACTGACGAATTTCTGCTCTAGAGCTGAAGTTTTTGTATGTAACTGGCGAACTTCAGCTCTAGAGCTAAAGTTTTTGTTTTTGTAACTGGCGAACTTCAGTTCTAGAGCTGAAGTTTTTGTTTTGTAACTGGCGAACTTTAGCTCTAGAGTTAAAGTTTTTGTTTTGTAACTGACTTATGGTTTTCGCTATTTCTGGAAATTTTTTGCTATCAGAAGCAAATCCAACCACTGAGCAAATAGTTTCTACAAATGAAAAATGAAAAAATGAAAGTTAACTGCTAGTATTATACAATTATGACATGTCACTGAGTAACTAATTTTCCATATTACGTAATAAGCAACTGTCAAGCTAAGGATAACCACATTGCTAAATTACCAGCTCGATGATGCTATAGTTACATACTACGTTGTTGCCTATTTTGAACAATGTAGTAAATGTGACATTAAGTGAACTTTTTCTCGTCTTAAGTGACATTAAGTGAACTTTTTCTCGTCTTACTAAGCATTGGTTGTCAGTGGTGGTAGGAGATATCAGCTCTCCTTTTCGTTGCTTTCGTTGGCTTATCCATTCTCACTGTAGGGGTAACAGATTTCTTGCAGAAAAGGGAGAAGGAGATGTTTGAGAAAGAAGAGGCGGATATAACTTTGAGGAGGAGAAGAAGGAGGAGAAATGAGGCTAAAGTTGTTTAAAAGTGGGTATAAGTTAAAAATTTAAAAAAAAATGGGTATAGGTTAAATGAGGGCGACCAAATAAGGCGGCCCGTGCAATTTTTACATATATTGGGCCTAATAAAGTGTGCTCATCATTTGTAGCCCAATTGTATGGGCTAGCCCAATCAATATTATTAGACTTAAAAATTAATTCAATTATATTAGCCCATAATTTTTTATTTAGACTAATATATTTAAAATAAACAAATTATTTTATTGAATTTAAATTCAATAACCTTTGCATGCCTACACTTTATATAGTAGAAATCTAAATTTCAACTAGTCCCATACTGCAAAATTATATTACTAATAAATTATTATATTTTTAATGAAAATAAAGATTCTTGTATTTTAGAAGAAAGAAAAATAAAAAGGAGAAAATATGATGTAGAATTGTAGATCAGAAATCCCTCGTGGAGACGTCAAGAAAACAAAACCCTTTTATTTCTTCTTTCTTTTTAATACTACAATATTCCTCATCTCTCTCAATCTGAGTATTTTCTCTAGACCAACATTCCCAGCCCCACCATCACTTGAAAATCTAGAAATTATTTCTTTAATTTCCCTTCATTCTTTTTTCCCCCTCCTAAAATCTAACAGTAGCATGATGATTCAGAGAAGCAAAATCTTATTGCTTGTCCTAATTTTGGGGTTTATAGCGACCCAAGTGAAATCCCTTAGATTTGATCTGCAATCTGGTCAGACCAAATGCATAGCTGAAGACATTAAAAGCCATGCTATGACTGTAGGCAAATACCATATTGTTAACCCCAATGAAGGCTACCCTTTGCCTGATACTCACAAAGTTACAGTCAGGGTAATTTATTTTTTCTTGTTACTATTTTTTATTGATTTATGTGCTATTTAAGTAAATGGGGTTTCATTATTTTATCTGCTTATGTTAAAGTTTGAGTCTTTTTGTGAATTGTGAATGGTTTGTGCATGTTGGATGTTTTGGTTAGAACTTGAATTTTATGCTGGAGTTGTAAAGATACAATTTTATCGATTTATGTGCTATTTAAGCAAATGGGATTTCCTTATTTTATCTACTTATGTAAAAGTTTGAGTCTTTTTGTGGATTGTGAATGGTTTGTGCATGTTGGATGTTTTGATTAGAACTTGTGAATTTTATTCTGGAATTGGAAACATTCAATTTTATTGATTTATTTTCTATTTAAGCAAATGGGTCATATTTATTTAATCTTATTATGTTGAAATTTGAGTCCTTTTGTGGATCTTTGGCTAACCAAGAATGGTCTGTTAATGTTGGATTTTTTTGTTAGAACTGTGAATTTTATATTGGGGATGTAAAAATTTAGTTTTAATTGATTTATTTACTATTTAAGCACATGGTTTTTCTTTGTTTGATCCTTTTATGGTAAAAAATTGAGCTTTCGGTCAATTTTTGGGTAACCAAGAGTTGTGTGTACGTGTTGGATGTTTTAGTTAGAACTGTGAATTGGAGTTGTAAAGATTCAATTTTGAATTTATCAATCAGTCAACTATGCTTCAATTTCTGTATGTTTCCGTCTATACTGGCCCATTTCACTCCAATACCCCTGAAAGTTTAGTTGTTAAGGTATTAGTAAAAAAAATGTTTGATTATTTTGTTCAAATGGATATAATTCTTCTGGTTTTGATGAAGATGAACTATTAACTGATATGTGTAATTTAGGTGACATCAACATATGGAAATACCTATCACCAATCAGACAATGTTGCTGAAGGGAATTTTGCTTTTGAAACTGCGGAAGCTGGGGATTATATGACTTGCTTCTTTGCTGCTGATCACAAGCCCCCTGTAACTGTTACCCTCGATTTTGACTGGAAGACTGGTTTTGCTGCTAAGGATTGGACAAATGTTGCCAAGAAAGGCTCTGTTGAAGTAAGCGCGCTTTCTTCTTTTATCTACCTGCTAATGAATCTCAATTCCACATATACTTTTGTTGCATTTGCATAGATGATATGGCAGTTTGTACTCATCTCTCAGGTTTAATGAGAAGTAGCCCTAGACTGGAACGATATAACTCTTAAGCATCCCTTGTGCACGAGAGACCGTTTTACAAAAAATTGCACTTGAGAAGTCTCATAGACTACATCATTAGTTCAAGCCAACCATTTGCTTTTGTCACTTTTCGTTATTTTAGCCTTTCCATGAGAAGAAAACATGAAAATTAGGGTTGCTGTTTAGTTTGAAGGCTTTCAATTTTTTTTGATAGATAAGGTATTGTATAGCTGATCCTAACTAATTTAGAATTAACAATAGTTATATTCCAGAATTTGGGAACGTCTTATGAAGTGATATACTTTCAGTTCCCTTTATTAAGAATAATTCTTCGTGCTTATCGAATTACAATTTGTTTTTTGTACTAGTAAAAAAATAAAAGCAATTTATTAGTTGTCTTCTGTGCATGGTGGTAATTGCCTCCATCATCTTGCCTCTATTTCATACATGCGCTTGTTGCGGTCCTCATCCGCGTTGAGCAGCCTTGTCATGTCACCCTTGAGATCCTCGATCTCCTTCGAGGCATGGTATTCAGTTGGCTACTGCATGTGGCTCGTAGCTTCCGATATGGTCAAGAGTTCCAGCCCCTTTTTTTTTTGTTTGATTGAGAAAAAGAAAGTTCGAGCCCCTCTTACCCCATTAATGCCCTCAATATTGGAATCTCTACTTGATGAAATTCCTTGTAAAGAGAGTTGACGTGGAAATGAACTTCAATTGAATGAAGGCTTTTAAAATGAATGGAATGCCCCAAAAAAGGCTAATAAGCTTATCATTTCACATTTTAATCAAGGTATTAATGTACTGTGCATTTGTTTGCGCATATAATGAGATTCATGTTGCTGTATGCATGCCAGCATGAACTTTAGCATTTAGTGTCTACTGCTTTTGCTGGAGAATCTGCTACAGAAAATGATGTTGTAACCACTTCTATTTTCCTCCTCCAGAATAGAATAGAAGGGAGAATAGGCTATAAACATTTTACCCCTATGAAGGCATGACTCGGGTAAGGCGGATATTATTGCCAAATTCTTGTTAGTTTCAGTTAAATAATAAAAAGCCTACCAGGCCATTAGGCTCTTAGTAAATTTTATTTTAGTTTCAGGTCATTCTGTCATCAAAAGAGGTAGTGAAATAAAACCACGCCACTAGAATTTTAGTACCTTACAGCCTATGGCTCAATACTCAAGAGAGGTAGATGAAAGGATGCATGCTTCCGAAAGTGTTATAGATTTAGTTCTTGGAAAACAATACTGATAACAAGGGGTATTCTCTTCAAAAAACATATATTTGTTATGAATTCTCTTCAAATTTACAATTAAATTTTTCTGCATTCCGTTATTCTTAATTAAGATTCCTTCACTTTTCTTTGTTTTGAACAATAGTCAAGAATCTTCTGTTTCTAAACCAAAAATAAAGAGAATTTTGGGATCAGGTTTGCGAGCTCAATTAAACCTTTAGTGCACCTTGGATGCATTTTTGTGTGTGTCAGAGAGGGAGTTGTAAGAACAAACATTTCCTTGTTCTAGCATCATGAAAGTAACTCATGCCTGGCGTATATTTTATGGTCTCTTTATCGTTCCGTCTTTAATAATTGCTCTTTTCGGCTTATTTTATTTAAGAAAAAGGTAGTATTACCTTTTGTATGAATGAGTTTTAAATTTGGACGGATCCAAATGGAGAAAAGGAAATACATGTAGATATAGAACACATTCACGGGCTGATTGTTGAGTCTTTGTTTTCGATTCAGAGTGTATTTCTGGCAATTGTGGCTGTATACTTGGAATTTGCTTTGTTTAAGACTTAACAAATTATTTCTCACCACAAAAAATCAAATGAAAATAAAATAAAAATTCATGCCATTCTCAACGCTTTTCTATTTTAATTACATTTCACCTTCTCGGTACGAGTCATGACAGGAAAATGCTGTTTGGCTTAGATTTTCGTAGCTCTATGGACTTTGAAATCGTGGAATTTGGGCTTTAATTTGCTGGACAGTGGCATAATTCTTCTCAACCGACACAGAAGTTTGTGCCGGAAACCTTTTGTTTAGCTTGTCCTCTACAGCATATTGCTGATGCTGAACTTTATTATTCATTTATACTCGTATTCTAAAGAACCAGATATTCTTCACCTGGATAGATGTTTGAGTTGAAGTATCACCAGGGAAAGTGAATTCTTTTGGAGCAGTGTTATTCTATGTTCCACTTTCTAAGGTTGATATGTTTACAATGCATATCAACCTTGAGATAGAAGGTTATGGGCTTGTGGATCTGTGCATCACTTGTGAAACGCATATGGGGTTTCCTGTAGTATTTTTGTGATGACACATACTTAATATCTGTTTGATTGCTTAAAGCTCCTCTTGCTCTTGATATAGCTTAACTAAGAATCTTTAGGACTCACATTTGGTATTGGCTTGCATCTTTCATTTAGACGCAGTAAAAGTGATCTGTAGTTAAGTTTTTCTGTTATAATACAAGAAGAAGATTGTCGCAGAAACTTTTGCTCACATTAGAAATTTTCAGTTCTATTCTATGTTGCTCGGACTCTTCAAAGATGCCGTCGGCTGCGTATTGGCTCTTCCAAAAGTAGTGCATCTTTGAAGGATCCGACACGGATGCGGCAACATTTTTGGAGAGTCCGAGCAACATAAGTTCTATTAACTTTGTTCTTGAGACGAAGAGGCTTCTGAGTTCTGAAGGTAGGAATTAAAGAAGAATGGGAGAATTGTGGGGAAGAGAGAGCATCTTATTTGTTGACAATGAATTTCATGACTGCACCTTTAGGAGTTTTGAGTTGAGACTATTGTAATTCACTTTCATCTTGCCATCTTAATAGGTAATGGAATTTGAACTAAAGAAGATGTATGAAAATGTTCAAGCCATCCATGATGAGATGTTTTTTCTCCGTGAAAGGTGAGTTTATCTTTCGATAACACTCCTCATGAACATATTATTTAAAGCAATGTTGTTACATTTAACTACAATTTTTCATGAACATAAGCTTGATAATTTTCTCGCACGTTGTAGGGAAGCTGAAATGCAGGAATTGAACAGATCCACCAACTCCAAAATGGCTTGGATGACTGGCTTGTCAATCTTAATATGTTTATCAGTGGCAGGGTTGCAGTTGTGGCATTTGAAGACCTTTTTCGAAAAGAAAAAGCTTATCTAATACTGTTATGATAGCTTTATAGTACTCCATGTATGTGTAGAATTTCCATAGATTACCAGTTCGAAGAGGGAATACAATGTTTTGAGTCAATTGTGATAGAGAGATCTTGGATTGGCAATGAAGTTGGTGCTGCCCATGCTCGTGTTTTCTTATTTATTACTCAGATCTATCCCATTTTATGGCACTTTCCTTTCTAGTCTGCGACTGTGGAAGAGAATAGCATATTTTTACATTTAAAAACAATTTAATTTTAAACTTTTCATTTTATCATAGATGACATAATTGTGTAGTCGCATGTTTATGATGACAAGTTTTAGTTTTTTTTTTTCTTTTTTAACTTCATGCCCATTAAACACCTTCATATAAAATGGGATGAAGAGTATTATTTGCTCTTCACCCTTTCTGCAGCTGTGGAATTGACAAATCTAATAGGCGAAATACATAAAACGCCCTTTTAAGTTGTCCTCAATATCTCAACCGAACCATTTTTCATTTTAACACTTCAAGTGGTTATTAAGTAGGTCAAGTAAATACTATACAACAGACCATATGCGTGAATTGTACTTGTCAATGACATGTCAAATGGACCAATCAAAAAATGACACATGTAATTTTGCCATAAAAAATTGAACAGCCGCCGGCTCCTCCATTTCTGCCGCCCCATCGCCACCAATCGCCGCCTTCGGAGCAACAAATTCTTTTCGGAAAATGGCATGCCAATGGCGTCTGAATATGACGATAAAGAAGAGCAGAAGAAGAAACTCCATTTTTTTTTACGAGAGAGAGTAAGAAGAACCAGATGGATTAAAAATTTCCGGCAGCTTGCATTTTTTCCGTCGAAATTGGTTGTTGTGTCTGATAATTGGATGGATATTTCTTTACTCTAGTATTCCAATTGAGTTCTTGAGTATTATGATTGGATTGAAAATTTGCTTGATATATATGTTCTCCTGACACAAGTATTGCATATTTCAATGTACTGGTCTTGATCATCCATGAAAGGCATGTTTTTTTGACAAGTGCTAGTTCTATTCTTTGGTGTGCAGAGCGAAGACTGTTAATAAGAGGTCTAGTGGTGTAAAGATTCGGAGCAGGCGAAAGAGAAAAATGTGTTTGGTATAAAAAATTTGTTGAATTGATGTGATGATATATTTGGTAATTTTGTTCTTTTGTAATGGAGGCAAAGGTGATTTAGGACAGAGGGGGTGTTGAATGGTGGAGGAGAGAATTGGAGGAGCGGGTGTGAAAATTAGGTGGGGTCCACATTATTTTAGTAAAAAAAAAAAGCAAAAAACACCCTAATTTTAGGTTGTCAAACTCGCGTCCTAGAGAGTGCATTTCACACAATGAGGGCTGATATGGTCGGGGTGTTTAGTTGATCTTTTGTGAATAAATAGAGTGTCTAGCTGAAAATGATCTTAATTGACGTGTTCAGTTGATCATTGAGGACAACTCAAAGGGGCGCTTTGCCAATCTAATAGTTGGAGTGGGAATAAAACATGCTTAGCAATAGAAAAAAAGCAGTAATTGTCAACGCAAGCAATTTATAAAGTAACTCTTTCTCTAGAAGAATGAATGGGTGAAATAGATAAATCAGTGATTTCTTCTCAACTTTTTTCCTCACAAGACATTTTTTTAGCTTCACTTTGGACGGTGATGTCTGTAACATATAATAAAGTATGAATTTCCTATTAGAACCATCTTAGTTTTATCATTTAACCAGAGAGTATCAAAGGGTAAAACAGAACACAGTTGCTACTTTCATTTTCAAGTACACAACTGGGAATCACAAAAAAAGAAAAAGAAAATTAATACAGATGGATTGAGGATAGAAAATTTGACAATCAAAACTAATAAATTTTGTTACAGGTCTATTAACCGCACGGTTCTATTTGGGTATATTCGGGAAATATGTTGATCAAATCTACAACGACCATAGCTGCAATGTCGAGTGGGGCACAGCAACAGTTTTTGCAGACCCCAGCCAGTTGATCCTATGCACAATCATACGAACATATCAATTTCAAAAGCAAGTTTGATGGGAGAATTCAACTCAATACATGGTCAAATCTTGAATTTGATGTCATGAAGTGAAAATGTGCCAATGATGCTCTGAGGGTAAAGCTTCTTTAACTTTTTCAAGTCTTTTTAGAATCTCCAAAAATGAAGGTCTCTGGTTCATATCTGGTGCCCAACATTGCTCCACCAACCTGCAAAAAATTAGTTGAATTTAGCAAAACAATGCCCTGACCACCATCTTTTTGCTTTGGCAACAACAACAACAACAAACCCAGCTTAATCCCAATCTTTTTGCCTTGGCAAATAGTCAAAAGAAATAACCTTGCCGTGCATATATGAAGCCTAAGGTCGCAAGAGGAAGAAAAAGTATATCTCATATTTCACTACACAACAGATCTAATAGATGCTTCTACATATGGTCATATCAATAGATGTGTAAATAACAATAATAAAACTAAAATCATGATCTCACACCGGTTTCTCCTTTTTATTCCAAAACCCATCCTGAATCACGTGGACGAAATTGATCTGGACATCTATATCTACCAAAGCCCACTTTGCACATATTTACACACAGTTCTATCACTTAATCTAAAATGATCTCTCTCTAAACCGTAGGATAATTTTCCTATGCTCTAATGGCAAAGAAAGTTTGCTGATCAAGTTTAATGACAAAGAACTTTAACATGCTGCCTAAGTTGCTTCACTAGTTACTCTCCTTCATAGTTATTTCTATTTTCTCTGCAGTTAGGATGCCTACAGCTCACTGAAAGAGGAAATTCACAGCAAGTAATCTCAGTTTTGGCAATCCCATTATTCCACCCCTACCAGAATCTTTACCATGCATTACTATCTTTAAATGCTTTCACACACCCAGCTACTGCACTGTGCTCCTTCGATATTATAGCTCATCTTTTAACTGTGCCACCTTTGTCCATGTTGTCACCCCACCCCATCCATTAATTTACGCAGTGTCATACATAGCTAAAGATATATGCTTCAAAAGTGGGAGTATCAAGATCCAGTTTGCACTTACTCTTTCAATTCTGGGGTAAAACCTTTTGCCCTGAAAATAGGTCTGTGTCCTTCTGCCACGTACTTGGCTGCTTCATATGGTTCATAGTGGGATAATGGTGGATCACCTTCTAGCATCTGCACCAGTAGAAAATTCATTGATAAGTTATTTATTTCATAGATCATGTTACACCTAATCCTAACAGGCAGAGCCGAAAAGTCAGAATTACCTCATATAAGATCATCGCGAAAGAGAACACATCGACTTTCTTGTCATATTTCCGGTGCTTGAAAACTTCAGGGGCCATATAGCGATCTATTTTTCGATTATAGAAAAAGATATCAAAAATAAATAACACATTTGAAAGGATATGCCAGGGAGAAATATGAAACTGTCACTTACAGCTCCCTGTCTCCCCAGTCATTTTATAAACATCATGGGAGTTCTGAACCCTGATTAGTTTGCTTAATCCAAAGTCTCCAACTTTCAAATGGTCTGCATTGGAGTTGACTAGAAGAACATTCCTAGAAACATTGACACATTCAGCACTAAAGCTAATTGAATCATAAAAAAAAAAAGGTAGCATCATTCTCATTAAACAATAAGATCCCCGTAGGTGAATAGTAACATGTAACCTATAGCAGAACCATGTTGAGAGAAAAACAGACCTGGGCTTTAGATCCCTGTGGATTATAACATTCGGCTCATTGTGAAGATAAGTCATGCCTCTGCCCACAGAAACATCAAACATTACATAAGTAAACTATGCATTGCAATTCCTTTTTTAAATAAAACCAGGCATTGCAATCTTGGGCTAAAATGCCAGGTAACAACAGCATTTCTCATAAAATGGTATGACGAGGACGAAAATCACAGAAGCTATGCCACTGGTCAGAAAGAGAGCTACTGAGAGTATAGTAACTTGTTCACGTCATCAGGACCATTTTCTGAATGCACTTTTTTGCATTTCCCCAACAAAGTTCAACAGACCAGCTAACTGTTAATAAGATGAGTTTTGGACAGAAGGTAAATCACAAGAGACCGAGTGACATTTAGTCCATCAATCATGCTGACCACATCAGCCGGGGCAGATAAGCAACTCAAAATATAGCACACATGAGTTTCAAGAATTAGAAGACATCAAGAGAATTTTGAGTTTTTCAAGGAAAATGAAGTATGGAATGCTATATCCAACTACCTTGCGATATCCATAGCAAAATTGATTGCTGTCGATGGACTAAGAGCACCTCTTTCCTTGAGGTGCTGATGCAGATCACCCTACAACAAATATACGCACCAAATTAGCACAGGTATTTCATGATATAAAGAGAATACTTCAATGTTCACTTCAAAATATAGGGAAAAAAGTAACCACATACCCCCCTTAAGTACTCAGTTATTAACATCAAGGGTTTTTTCTCAGTAACAGCTCCAAGAAATTGCACTATATTTGGATGACGGAGCTTCACCAACAAATTTACCTCATGCCTGAAATCCTGACTGCAAAAGGAATTAAATCAGGCAGAACCCATAAGACAGTAAAATATAAAAAATTAATCAACTGCAGAGGGTCTAAGTAACAGCCTATGTTTAAAATTAAATATATCTGTATCAAGCTTAAAAACCATTGTGAATAGGGGATGTTGAGAGCTTTAGGTATCATATGAAGCTTCTTGATCCACTTTAATTTCAGGTCCGCATACAATATTAGCAGAGTAAATAGAAACCTTATTCTTTGCAAATATTCCACGATTGATTGACCATTAGAGAATGTGACTTGTTTGCAAAAGCAGCATTAAGGACATGGAAAGCTTTATAGGTCAAAATATAACATAGGAGACCAAATAAGTTCCCATCCTCCTTCCCCATTCCCCGCCCACAACCAACCCCTCAAAAAAGAAAAAAACTGTGAAACTTGACAACAATAGCAGACAACAAAGACAGCACAACATTTTTTTTTGATAAGGTAAGATTTAACGACAGCACAAGATATCAAAATCATATATACAGGATATTGTAGTGCTAACCCCGCGAGGAAACTTACATCACCAATCGATCATCTGAAAGGTTTGGGAGGATGCGTTTAACAGCTACAGGTGTTCCACGCCAGCAAGCTTTTAATATCTCACCAAAAGACCCCTATCAACATCAGCTTCCATATTAGATGCATAAATAGCAACCTCACTGGTAAATCCTTGACCAGGATAAGAAGCAGATTAAGCTATTAGAATCAAGCACGACATTATAAAAAAATAGCTAAAAAGATAAACGGCTTGAAGCAAAATGGACAGCCAATTTCGCACCAGAGACTGTCCCTCCTTTTTCTTATGGGTAGACCCAGGAATATAATAGCTGCATATTAAGGTTAGTAAAGGAAATAGAATCATCTCATACAGTTCTTAAACTATAGACAGAATATAAAATTACCAAGGAAAAGCGCTAATAAAAAAAACACCTCGGGTGACAGCCCCAAACACAAAAAATGGTCTGTCTTTCCTGATTATGAGATACTTTCTACTTTGGAATGTAAAGAAATGCTAAACACATTGCAAAACTAATTATATTCTATATAATCATTCACATCTTTTTAATTAAAAAACTTAACGCAGTTGAGATTTTTCATTCAACAATCGACAAAACTCCACAAAACAAGTATTAGCTTAACCATCACAAACTCAGCTTCAATTGCTTTTCTATTTTTGATGAAACCTCTTCAGAAAAGGCGATCAGTCACAGAGGTAAAAAAGCTTTTATTTAAAGAACACAAAAAAGAAGTGCAAGAGTAGCTGTCTTTTATACTACAGTTGCCAATTCATTAGAAAAGACACTGGATAAGGCAACTTAAACAGACTTCAATTTAACCTCCAACAAGCTTATTAGCTGTCAATTCTAAAATAGCAGATCATACCTTCCCAATGATTACAGAATTTGAGAAGTCCAGCTCAGCAGGATCAATCTCCCAGTCACACTTCTTTGGTAGAGGGGGTGGAACAGCCCTTGGTTCAAAATGGCTTCCATTTTGCCCCTGTAGCATTATCTTAATACATTAGAGGCTCACAAAGATAAATCCTCTGAAGACACTATTTGCATATTCAGAATAATTCTCAATAATTTTGTAAAGAAAATCTTGAAGTGGCTGAACAAGACAAAGGTAGAAAGGTGTTCAATAACTTGGAAGATATGAATTGCACATCCTGCACAAGGCTGTTCAGTTTATTTTCTTACTATAGTAGTAGCAACCAACAACCATTAGCTCTCGGCTCGTTGTTACGGCGAGAGCACCAATCAGTTATTTGCAAAGTATAAGATTTTTTCCCAACTTAGTTAAATGATCTACTAAATCATCCCATCAATCTACATATGGTCTGGGTCATCATCCAATAGCTGTCTCTTCCTTAGGTAATCAACAATCAACAACATAATTTGACTGAACTGGAGAATATATCAAATGTTTGCATATATTAATCAGCAATTATAACTAAAAAGAGAACAAAACCAGGAAAAGATTCGCTGATGCTAATCTCGTGGAATATTAAAAAGAAATCTTATTCTTACTTTGTGAAATTCTGATTCGAACTTATTCCTGATTGTTAAATTTTGATCTAAAACTTACTCAACAATTCTATTTATGTTTTAAGTTTTTTTTTCTTCCCAGGCCATGGATGTGCTGACGCGAAACATCCAAAGGGAGGTGCCATGGTGTATATTATTTGCAGAGTCGGTTGAAAAGAATACTTGGAGTGCAAGTTCATGATGGGACGCATGAAGAAGAAGTGGAAGTGAAGCTTGATACACAAGTCATCCCAAGAGACACAATTTCAAATGTCTTGGGTTTGTAATCCAAGGCAAAGGTAAGATTGACGAGGATATCACACATCGTACTAGAGCAGGGTGGATGAATGGAGATCCGCATCTGGTATTTTGTGTGATAAGAATGTGCCATCAAGACTTAAGCGCAAGTTCTACAGAGTGGTGGTAAGATCAATTATATTGTATGGGCCTGAGTGTTGGCCCGTCAAAAAATCCCATGTACATAAGTTGAAAGTAGCAGAAATGTGGATATTGAGATATGTGTGTGCATACCAAGAAAGATAAGATTAAGAACGAAGTTATTAGGGACAAGGCGGGAGTGGCCCCTATGGAGGACAAGCTACACTAAATAAGATAATTATCTATAGTATAACTCAATTGTTTAACTAAATAACAAAATGGAAAAAGAAAATCTTAAGTTGGGCAGGGCGAAAACAATTAAAAAACTATGTGTGGGTGGGTGGGGTGGGGGATTGAAATTTTGCGGGTTAAGGCTCAACCGGCACCCGCACCCCCCCCCCCCC